CAATAAAATCTTTACTGACGAATGTATTCTGCATTCTGCCTTCTCTGGGTGCTACCCTACTTTGTGCAAAACTCCTGGAGGGCTTCCTGTGACATTAGTACAATGAAGCAACAATGACATCCAATGTTTCTGGGTATCTTAACAACATAAAGAAATAACTTATTTATGTGTATACCTTGTGAGATACTTAAAGTTTACACTAGTAACAGAATCAAACGTTCAATTCAGAAGATAAATTCACCTAAGTTACACTTAAGTTGATATTCATCAAATTATTAGAATAAGGCCAAGAAAAAGATATAATAGTTTAATGCAGGAATCAGTGGTCCACTTTATTTGATAAGGTTACAAAACAATACTTACAATGTTTTTACATTTGAAATATATGATTGCCTACTTAAGAGAACTTATTTCTTTGATCTGCATAAATATGGCTGCAAAAGCTAACGTTTTGGTAATAGTTCTATTGCTAATATGCCTGCAAATTTTCACCTTTAATAATAGCTAACACTGAATACATATTAGATGAATAAACTTACTGAGTGCTTACTACATATCAAGGACTATACCAAGTGCTTGATATACATTTTTCTCATTTAACCCTCAAAACAATCTCACGGGGTAGGAAACAATATTATCTTCCATGTATAGATAGATAAGGAAAGAGTGGCAGGGAAAGGTTAAGCCACCTGCCTGAGGTCATACAGATCAGAAGAGTCGCAGCCTGGTGCATCTGACTTGAGGGCCTGGGTCCCATTACCTGTACTGTTTAGCATTTGTTTAGTTCCTTATTCTCTAGTAAATGTCATGCAAAGATGCTATGGATTTAGGGTCACGGTTTCCAAACTTACTTAAAATGATGGTAGTAGGACAGCTCCTGGATATGCTGGAGACTGAGCTCTTCAGAAGGAATCACTTTTACTGGGCAACAGTTAGTCCCATCAGCTTCTGAGCCATTAGATTCAAGCTCAGGTTCCCACCATGTGCGACCCAATTGACTTAAACCCCAATGTGACCCCTTGCTAGGTGGTATAGCACAGATAAAGCTCCTCAGGTCAGTGCTGCAGGCTGAACTGTGTCCCCCTTTAAAATTCCTAGGTCGAAATGCTGCCCTCCGGTATCTTGGAATGGGACTGTATTAAAGACAGGGTCTTTAATGAGGTAATTATGGGAAAGTAAGGGCATATGGACGGGTCCCAAACGGTGGTCCGTGCCTGTGTAAGGAAGGGAACTTAGGAGATTGGGGCACAGACAACACGCGGACTGAGGGGTGACCATGTGAGGACGCAGTGAGAAGACGGTCATCAGCAAAGCAAGGAGGGACGCTCCGGAAGAAGCTAAACCTGTCCCCACTTTGATCTTGGACTTTTATCTAGCCTCCAGAAATGTCAGAAGATAAACATCTGTTGCCTAAGCTACCCAGACAGTGGTATTTGTTATGGCAGCCCTAGCAAACTGAAACAGGCAGTGATGAAGTCCATGTTTAATCCTTTCAGGGTTGCCCTGTGCAGGAGTTCTATGCTTCTGACCCTAAAAATAGACAAATGAATGGATCACCATGGGAGCAACATAGCAGACAAAGTTTTTTAAACCAAAGCTCAGAAGATAGAGGGTAAGGGGTCACAAAATAAATGGGGTACCTGTGGATAAAGAGATTAAGACTTCCTGAGGAGAGAATGGGAAAGAAATCAAAATATGGTAAGAAGTATGAAGGAGTGTTGTAAAATAAATAGGTGTAGGTAACTCTCCAGGTCAAACATATCTGACAGGTCCCAGCGGGTGGAACACACTCTAAACTCCTCAGCAGGCAAGTCCCTCAACGACCCAGCCCAGTCCTGAGCTGCACCCTACACCATGGAACCGCTGGCCTCCTCCCTACACTACCGCCACGGACCACTCGTCAGTCCTTTCCTGGCGCTTTCCTTACGCAGAGATCTTGTTCTGCTCTTTGATGCACGCATCCGCTCATTCAGTGAAGATTGGCAGCAAGGCGCCGAATGTACAAAAGTGTGTAAAATGGACAAGATCCTTGTAGAACTCACAGTCTAGTGCCCTCAGTTTCCAGTTCCCAGTCCACAGTGTGGCTCCACCAAGTGACAGCCTGCCTACCTTTCCCATGCCAGTTCCGCTCCAAAGAGCCTCCAAAGCCCCAATCAGAAGGAACAGCTCTCTCTGCGGTGCTCCCATACAGCTTGGTTTATCCTTCGTTTTGGCATTCAGATCAAACTGAAATGTTACATGTACTTAGTTTAAATATTTATTATGTATGAATTTGTGGATGTATTTGTATGTGCACAGGCACGTGCTCAGGTACATACAGATACAGAGACAAAGGTCAAGTTCACACGCACATGCTCAGGGGACAGAGACAGAGAGACACAGGTAGAGACAGTGATAGACACAGACATAGAGATAAGATCTTCCTCCAGGTGATAAATGCCACCGGGGCACAATTTATACCTTAGTTACCTTTGAATTCCCCACTTAACACCTAACATTGCTTTGCATGTTCTCGGTGTTCAATAAATATGTGCTGAATATAATTAATACTATTAATAATAATCAGTAATATGCTATGGTGCAGAACTAAACAAAAATATGATACTCACCAAATCTAAACCTAAAAATTACTACCTTTAAAATATTCTTTCCTGCAAAACACCGTTCTCCATTCTCTCGGCAAATGTTCGTGCTTTTTAGCAGAATAGCAAGAAGCCCGTTTCATCATCGGCGACCTCTGCCACGGGAACTCGTTTTCAGCAGGCCGTCTGAAGAGAGTCGTGTGTAGGTGCCAAATGAAATGCACGACGGCCAGGTGTGGTCTCTGCAGTGTGTCCAAGAATAACGGCCAGAGGCTGTACCTGCATCTGCTCAATGGAGCTTTACAATGGATATCCAGACTGATCTCTTATCACCATCCTAAAACCACCTAGCTTTCCAGAAGGTATGCTGCTTTCTCAGTGTGTTTTTGTACCTATTGGGACGTGCATCAACAGGCTGGTCCTACTGAAGAAGCAGAATTTGTCAGGCACAGTCAGGAACACTGACAGTCCCTGGTGCTTCTCTGATGGAGGCTGGCAGATGATTCTCTCTTCGTCAGGCTTTGTGACACAGGTGTCAACTGGGTTTTGCCTCAAGAAACCAATTGCCACGGCTCACACCGCAATTAGAAATCAGAACAGCTCTGGCTGGGTGGCTCAGTTGGTCGGAGAGTCATCCCGTACACCAAAACGAAATTTTACCCTTTGCAACGGTATGGATGCACCTGCAGAACATTCTGCTAAGTGAAATAAGCCAGTCAGAGAAAGACAAATACTGTCTGATTCATTCATATGTGGAATCTAACAAACAAACTGAACTAAACAAGCAAAACAAACGCAGACTCATAGATGGAGAGCAGATGACAGGTAGCGAGCGGTGTGGGGGAGATTAGGGCGTGGAGGGAACTGAGCAAAAAGGAAACAGGACTCATGGACATGGACAAGAGTGTGGTGATTGCTGGGGGGAGGGGGTGTAAGGGGGCAAAATGGTAATGGGAAAAATATAATAAAGATTAAATCACTAGAAAAGTGAAAAAATAAAATAAAAACCTGAACTGCTCTCTTTAGTATGTCGATGGTTGTGGTTTAAGCGTGACCACTCCACTGAGACTAAAAACAGTGCCGAGTCAAAAACGGGAAAAACTTAGGATCCTGTCCCTTGTAACCCCCAGCTACCTATGCTCTGGACATCAGCTGAGCTTCCTATTCACGCGGATCAAGTTCTTTTTTTCCTTCTGTAGTAATGTCCTATGGACTTCACAAAATGTTTCAAAAAGGCAAAATTGATAACCAGCTTGCCCCTTCAAGGGGGCTCCAACACACACCCCTTCAAGGGTCAGCCATATATATCATCACCTCCTCAGAACCTTCCTGCCTCTCAGGTTAGATGCTCCCTCGCCTACTCATCGTGCTCACCACAGTGAGGGCACGGGAGGCCCCTCGACTGGCCTGTGCTCCCAGTAGTTTCTGAGGGCACAGACTGAGTCTTATCCTTCAAGGTAATTCCACCACCTAACACACTCTCTGACACAGAGCGGTCAACAAAAATATTTTGAATAAATGCAGAAATGCATCTATGCAATAGCACAATCAAACATCAATTCTGAAGTAACATAGTGAATGAATATCAATTCTTCCTTTAGGACATCAACAATACTTGGAGATCTTACACCTTGGTCCCTTAGTATATGCAGAAGCTAAAGCAACACCAGCATCGTCACGACAACATTACTGGAGTACTTACCAAGTTCTGGGGATTTTTCTAAGCCCTTTATGTGTTCTATTTAATTAAATGATCACACAAAAATATCACATGAGATATGTCCAATTCCTGTTCCACTTTATAGTTAAGGAAACGAAGGCCCCCAGAAGTAAAGTGATCGGTTCGAGGTCCCTCAGAGAGTGTTTTCATAGACAGAAATTACCAAATGTTTTTTTAATTATACTTTAAATCATTTTCTGAGAAACTACCACATGTTCTTATAGAGTTGCATAGCATTTCTGACAGATTTGTAGAGATTTAATTTGCATACCATAATTTACCCTTATCTACACAGCCCAACGAGTTTCACTATGTAAAATGTATATTTTATTTTTTATAAAAAATGTATAATATCAGCACCTACCCTTAAATCAGTTAATTTATGAAATCATCCTCTTTTGCAGAATACATATTGGTATCGAAACAGTTCGAAGAAATGCAATGGCTATCTACAAAAACACTAGTTTGGATTCACTGTATGCTGCCTCCCTTGTATTTCCTATTTTAAGTCTGCATACCTAAAAGAAAATTAAAATTTTCAAACACTTTATATTCAGCAATTATTCAAAAACTACACTGTTTTCCTGCTATAGTCTTCATAAAGGGTTTTAAAGGTTCAAGTAAAAATAAAAAGGTGCTAGGGTAACTCTGCGGCATTGTTCAACAGCATTTTTATATGGGACAATCGGAATCCATGGAAAAGCATGGAATGCTTCACGAATGTGCATGTCACCCTTGCACAGGGGCCACGCTGATCTTCTCCGCATCGTTCTGAGTTTAGAGTACGTGCTGCTGAGGTGAGCACCGGTTTTGTCTTTTCCAGGGTATCGTATAAAGGGAATCATCCACTATGTAGTCTTCTGCATCCGGTTTCTTTCATTTCGCCTGCTTTTGAGGTTTACCCACGTTATTGCAAGTATCGGTAATTTGTTCTATTTTCCTGCTCGTTAGTATTTTATATTATGAACATATGACAATCTGTTTATCCATTCACAAACTGATAGAGATTTGGGTTATTTCAAGTTTGGGCAGTTTTTGTAAAGCTCCTATGTGTATTCATATACCCGTCACTGTATGGACACATGTTTAATGTCTCTTGGGTGGACAGCTGTGAGTGGATCTGCTTGGTTATATGGTAAGTTACGGTAAGCTATGTTAAGCATCTGTTCACATTTTAAAAAAATTTTTGTTTTATCCTCACCCAAGAAAAAAAAATTTTTTTCACTGCTTTTAGAGATAGAGAAAGGCAGAGAGGAAGGGAGAAAGAGAAACATCAGTCGGTTGCCTTCTGTACACACCTGGCCTGGGGATCTGACCCACCACCGGGGTAGGTGCCCGGACCAGGAATCAAACCTACAATGCTCTGGCTACAGGACAATGCTCCAACCAACCGGGCCACACTGGCCAGAGCTGCTTCTGTCCACCTTTATAAGAAACTGGCAAACAGTTTTACAAAGTGACTGAACCATCCTGTATCCTTATCAGAAATGTATGAGTTCTACTTACTTTATATTCTTAACTGTACTGGCTTTGACAGGCTTTTTAATTCTAGCCATACTAATGGTGTCTCCTTGTGGTTTGAATTTGCATTTATCTAATGACTAACGATGTTGAATATCTCTGCATGTGCATAACTGCAATCCGTATATCTTCTTCAGGGAAGGTATAAATGTTTGTTCATTTCCTGTTGAAATGAATTTCTTTTTATTAGTGAGTTGTAAGAGTTCTTTATATATTCTAGTTATCCGTCCTTTATCAGATAGGCACTTGCAAGTTCTTTTTCCCAGTCTCTGGCTTGACCTTTTATATCCTTAACAATATGCTTTAAATGTATTCCTTAACAATGTAATATTTAATAAATCAATTATTTTTAGAACAGTTATTTTTAGAACAGCTTTAGGTTTACAGAAAAATTAAAAAGACAGAACTGTGAGTCCCATATAAACCCACACCCAATTTCCTCTATCATTAATGGCTTACAGTAGGATGGTATGTATTTTATAATTAGCAGCCATTTTTAAACTTCTTACCTGACAGTTGTAACATCCTGGCCATTCTTGGGTTTAATTCTAGTGACCGTTTTTTCTCTTGGTAGGCAATTCCCCTCCCCCCCTTTTTTTTGGTATATCTTGTAATTTTTGATTAAATGCAAAACATTGTATCTGAAAGAACAGCTGAGACTGGGGTCGCCAACATTTACTTCTGGAACGGGCGTATCTCTTCTGTTGTCAGGCTACTATCCCGCGTAGCTGAGTCCGTCTGAAAGTTGTTGAGGTGGGTTTGTGCTTTGTTGTGGCCATGGTAACCTTCAGTGCAACAGACACTATGATCTCCTCCAGGGGTAGATTCCCGGCACCTGATGTTTAGTGTGAGGCCCGAGTGACAAGTGGGTGTGAGTTTTAGGGGGGGTTTTCTTGAACTTATGAAATTTTGGTTGGCATACAATAGTAGAGCAGTTTCAGGTGTACAACACAGTAACTAGACATTTACATACCTTACACAGTGATAAGCCTGGTAAGTCTAGTAAGCACCTGTCACTATACAGAGTCATTGACAGTAATGCCCATGTTCCCTGTACGCTATGTGTCTCTGACTTACTTTACAACTAGAAGCTTGTACCTCTTAATGACAGAGGGTTTTCTTAGCGTTCCCGCTCCACACTTACACAGCCGAGTGCCTCGCTGCGCCCGTGTTCTTCCCCAGATTCAGGATCGTTACTCCACGTGGGTCTCACGGCGGGGTCAGAACGTGTTTGCTGCTTTATTCTCCTGCCGCAGCCTCGGTCACTGCCAGACCCTGTGAACGTGAGCTTCGGAGGCGAGGCTCTCTCCGCCTCTTCCCCGCTCCGTGAGTCACAGCCAATCGCTGCCCAGTATTGCCGCTGTGTCTCGTGTGCACGCCTGACCCTCTTCGGCTATGGCAGCCCTCTATCTAACATCAGTTCCAACTCTGAGCACGAGTGGCTTTCCCACCCCGCCCCCCTTGGTGCGAACAGGACTGCTCTCGCCTCGGTGCAGGGCCGGAACACTGTCTCTCCTTCTCCCCACAACTGCCAATCCGTGCCTGGCGCCAAGTGCTTGGTCAGCGTTCCTGCCCATCCCCGGCCTGTACGACAGCGTTTGTGTCCTACGACAGGAGTGCCGGGACACTGGGGGAGTTTGTGTCTGTCTCCCAGGGGCATCGATCATCACCCGCAGGCCGGCACCGCTGAGGGGCTCTCTCGTGTCCTGCCCCATCCCCAGTCCTTCCCCTGAGTATGGTGGAGGCCGATGGTGAACAGCGACAAGCAGATACAGATCCTCTTTATGCCTGGGGCTCCTGGCAATTTGAAATCATGCTAGCCCATGATTTCTATAATAGCTTTTAAAGATGTAATAGCTTTTAAAGAATTTTAGTTGTTTTCTTTATATCTTCTTTGATGGCTACTAACCCTCCAGCTTGGGCTCTGCCAAAGACAAAACAAGGATGTATCCCTTTTCTCCCTGGAATTCATACCCCCTGCCTGCCTGTAGACCTCAGGTTTCTGATGAATGGGAAAAAAAAGGAGTGATAGCATAGGTTATCCATCTTTTTGTCTTGTGATTAAAGTGGGAGCAATATTTTCTTACAGCTTTCTACCCCTGAAGTAAAATCAAAGTCCTAGAGTTTAAGATTATTTAAAACATTATTAATCCTATAGGATATTACAGTATAACCAGAGCTTTCTCATTATTTTTAAACTCCTCTTTTCTTCCAACAAAATGAAGCCTCATATTTAGTATGTGAGTCTTTTCCACACTCGAATGACCTGAATGTATCCCAGACACATTCCAACTCAGACACACTGACGTTCGCAGATGTAACAGGGCTCAGGCTTACTGGAACGATACAACGTGTCAACTAATTCTTCAGAACAGGCCACTTCCCGGTCACAATTAAGGTCTAGAAGACAGCCTGTTTCTGTAAGTTTATCATCGCTACCCTCTGAATTTCAAGTATTTATTCTTAATTTTAACACCAAAAAAGACCATTTAAATAATGAATCTAAGCAAAGGGGATACTTAACGACAAATGATTAAACAGATCTTTTAAAGCAAAACAAAGATGTATGTGCAAAAAAAAAGTATCTTTAAAAGTAATTTCTGTAGGGAGACTCTGCTTATTACAACAGTGGAGTTACTCACATGATCAAGATATGAATAAATCATTTCTCCACTGAAATGCACATTTCTGAGAAAACCAGCCTTATCACTTGGTAGTATCACTTTTGTTTTGTTTTGTTTTCCATTTGATCGTGTGGGATTTGAGACTAAAAATAGGACTACCCACTAGCTAACTCGTCTACCCAAATGACTTTCGGCTGCTTCCAAACCCCAAACACCATATGCCACCGTGGGTATTCAAAAGCTGTGCTGGAGGCTACGAAAGCAACTCAAATTAACTTCAAGAACTATTCCAAGTAAGAAAAGGATCACTTGATTAAACACTTGGTTCCCATATTATTCTCCACTTGTCTAAAAGAAGGGAAGCCTTGGATCTTAAGAACTAATCAACTAAAATAGCAAAGTATGAATTTAGCAAAGACAGCAATACAGCAAAAACTCCTGAAACATTGAACCAAGGAGAACCAATACCTGTCTTGCACAGTATGGCACACAGTAGCAATCATAGATATTTCATGATTGCTAATCACTTCATCAGTGGGTGCTCAAGATGAACAGGACATTTTGTCACCAAATTGGTGTGATTTAATTTATATATGACTATCTTGTCTCCTTTGTCAATCAGTATTTGTAATTAATACATGCTGAAAGAAGGCAGGAATTCTCCTTGTCTTAAATTGAATATAAAATATAACTTCATTCTACCATAACATCTTTGAAATTCATATTAATTAGTATGCTATTAATTTTTTTAAAAAGTAAATGTCTGTGACTTATCCACTCCCAAACCTGTAAGTAGACAAAAAAAAAAAAACCCTTTAAGCAATGTTTTTAGGCAGAATTGCATAGCATGAAGACCATGGGCTCTGGGGTCAGAACACCCGGTTTGCTAACTGTGTGACTGTGAACAAGTTACTTCAGGTCTTTAAGCTTTTCCTCGCCTATGAAATAGGGATGGCCAAAATAACATCTCCCTCGGAGGGCTGTTATGAGGATTGAATGAAATAATGCAGGAAAGCACACTTAATAAATAATATAAACTATCACCGCTATTATCATTCTGCGTATTTCAAAGCTGTTTTTCAAATGCTGTGCCTGGAGAGGCCTCCATCAGCAGGGCGCAGACCCTGACTGGGCAAGTCTGTGCTGAAAACAAAAGTCAGTGTAGACAGGGATGGAAAATGGGACTTTAGCTCTGCAAACTCTACGGGGAAAGTGAGGCAGGTGGCTGAGGCGCCAGAGAAGTCCCCTCCAGCTGTGAAGAGGCAAATCAAACATTCATACGTAATTAGTATTTGGCTGAATTAAGAAGAAGTCTAATTTTTGCAATTAATGAAATCGGAGCACCATGAAAAGTATTCAGAATACAGGTTGAGTTCACTGTTCTAGGAGCTCCCTCTTTTTCAAACTGCTTGCCTTCCAAAGAACACAGTCCCTTTCCCCCGCCCCCCACAAATCACTTTCAATATAAATATTATTTAGCATGTGAACCTCAAAACAGCCATGTTGGGGGTGATAAAAATATCATACTTCCTGCCACAGTATGTAACTCGTATGGCTCTGCAGTTCAAGCATGTTACCATCAGTGGTTTAATAAACAATCACGAGACCACCAGGACATCCGATGCACCACCATGTCCAATATAAGGGATCTTATGAACGG